CTCCCGGGCCATCTAGTCTGACCCCCGGCACTAGCCGGCTCTGCTCACGACATGCCCACCATGTGCATGTCCAGCCTATCCTTGAACACCCGCACCAATGGGGCCTCAACCACCTCCCGTGGAAGCCCATTCCACGCCCTCTGGGTCCTAACTGCCAGGAAGTGCTTCCTGGCTTCCAAATTGAACCTGGGTTCCCTGAGCTTTGCTCTGTTGGAGCGCGTCCTGCCTTCCTCTGCAGGGGAGAACAGGTCTCTGCCCATCTCCATGTGACACCCCCTCATATACCTGTATGCCGCCACCAGATCCCCTCTGAGTCTCCTCTTCTCCAGGCTGAAGAGACCCAGTTCCCTCAGTCTCGCCTCATATGGCATCCCCTGCAAACCGGCCACCAACCTTGTGGCCCTGTGCTGCACTGACTGCAACCTGGCTATATCCTTCCTGTAATGAGGGGCCCAAAACTGAGCACAATACTCCAGTTGTGGGCGCACCAGAGTCATACAGAGTGGTGGTAATACCTCTCTTGATCTAGAAGCCACACTTCTGGCTATGCAACCGAGGGTGGCGTTCGCCCTCTTGACCACCGCATCACACTGCTGGCTCATGTTTGGCCTGCAGTCAACCAGCACCCCGAGGTCCCTTTCATAAGTGCTGCTCTCCAGCCACTTGTCCCCTAACCTGTACTTATGACACCCATTCCTATGGCCCAAGTGCAAGACCTTGCACTTATCCACATTGAACGCCCTCCTGTTGACTCCTGCCCACTTCCAACTTTTTCCCCACACCTCTTTGGCTTCTCTGGTCAGTGCTGGCAGGAGCCTGACAGTCCACTCCTCTCCAGGCCACTGGACAGCTTTGGCCACGTGCTCAAAGGAGGCCAGGAAGGCCTCGGCGTCAGACTGCCGTTGTGTCTGCCATGGCTATCCTGTCCGAAGTGAGGCCCCACAGGGTCTCAGGAACTCCTGCCCTTGAGTTCCCCAGCTTTCCTGTGGCCCCTTCAGCAGCTCCGCTCCGGCCTCTGGCATGGGTGTTGAGGATTCTGGGTGCTCCTTCCCAGGTCCAGAATGATTCGCCACGGGGTCTCCTCCTACCTCTTGCTTTAGTTCAAGAGCACAGAGGGTGTCTGTCTGGAGGAGGGCCTTCTCCGCAGTGGCGCCCAGACTATGGAATGTGTTCCCCAGAGAAGTTTGCTGGCGCCGTTATAATTCTTTCCAGCGCCAGGTAAAGACCTTTTTATTCGATCATTTAATGTTTTTAGACGTTTTAGGATTTTATTGTTCCCCTTTTTAGTCGCATTTTCTGTAGTGATGTGTTTTATATTGTTTTAATATAGTACTTTTATATTTATTGTATTTTTATATAGTGGTTAAGAGCACGGGACTGGGACTCAGAGGATCTGGGTTCAAGTCCCCGCTCAGCCATGGAGCCAACTGGGTGACTTTGGGCCAGTCACAGACTCTCGGCCCAACCTACCTCACAGGGTTGTTTTTGCGGGAATGAGATGGAGGAGGAGAATGATGTAAGCTGCCTTGAGCCCTTTGTAGGAAAAAGGCAGGATATAAATCGAAAAATAAATAAAATAAAATAAATAAATTTCTTGTAAGCCATCCTGAGTGCTTGAAGCAACAGGAGGTGGTATAAACGCATGTAATACATAATAAATCTTTCTCTGCGGTGGCGCCTAAGTTATGGAATGCGCTCCCCAGAGAGGTCCGCCTGGCGCCGTCGTTATTTGCTTTTCGGCGCCAGGCGAAGACCTTTTTATTTAAGCAGCATTTTAACTGTTAGTATTATTTGATCTTATCTGGCCAGGGCGGCTTATTTTATATTGTATTTTTTGGATTTTTAATGTTTATATTTATTGTAATTTATATTATAATTACTTTTATTTATTGTTGTAAGCCGCCCCGAGGCTTCGGCGAATGGGGCGGCATAAAAATGTTTTAATAAATAAATAATAGTCCAGTGGCTGCAAGGCTCTGCTTCTCCATCAGCTTCTCCCCAGCTTGACAGGGTGGTCCTGATGCAAGCTAAGCCCTTGCTGGAACCCTTGCTCACAAACTCCTTTTCCCCAGAAATTCAGGAGGGAGAGTCAAGGGCATCTGAAACTCTGATTACAAGGCTAACTTCTCTTCCACTCTTCCTAATTACTCACACAGGAACAGGCAATAAAGGTTTAAAGCCTCTTATTCTAAACAACTTCAAAGGAACGCAGGCAATGAATAATGCAGGAGCTGTTAATGGCAGTTCCAAGCAGTTGCCCCCTCCTTTCTGACCTATCCCAGATTTATGAGCGCCCCTCCGGGCTAGATAAGCTCCTCTGTCTCCTTCTTTGGCTTTGCCGCTCTTCTAATTGGCTCAAAGCCAAGTCTTCTCCTCAGCTGGGCATTCTCCATGGCAACGCCTCTGAGTCATTAGGCAGGACATTTCTGAAGGTCTTCAACAGCTTATCCCAGAGTAGCCCCTGGGGATATTCCCACTTTATGCAGATTTGGGCAGGAGGTGGGTGGATTTTGCCATGTGAACATCCGGAAGTGGTAGGTGAGGGTAGGGCTTTTATCACCTGAAAAAGCATCTTTACAAGAAGACAAGAAACGAAATCCCAAGAAAATAGATATAAAGGCATAACCATGAGTTTAAGTGGACTCCGGGGGATGGTGGAGGACAGGAAGGCCTGGGGGAATGTTGTTCATGGTGTCGTGATGGTGATGGGTCGGACACGACTTTGCGACTAACAACAACATCCTTTCCAAAGACAGCAATCTATTTCACTCTTCATTTAGCAGAAATACCCTCCTCCCTATGCTCCTGTGTCACACCAATCCGAATTAAGGCTCGGAATCAGTTTCTTGTCAGGGCAAACAGGTTTATTTACAATTGAATGCATGGATCCATGGGTGCCTAAAATAGGAACACCTCATGTTAATTTCCATAGGGTTCTATAGAATATACAAAAGGGCAGTGAATACAATACACAGAAAGGTGATTGGATACTTTGACCTGGATAGGAAAGTGACTGGATACACATCACAACACTATAAAGAAAAGTTACATTTCACTCTAATTAGATGCCTTTGACAAGCCTTCTAAACTAAAGTTATCTTGAACAGGCTGGCCAAGTTACCTACACAAAAAGGTTACATGTGTGAACTTACAGGGTTAGGGAGGCACTTTGGCAAGCCTATAAAACACAGAGATTACACTTTGACAGTTACCCATTAATAGAGTGTGGTCATCTGGTCTTCACCACCCGACACCGAGGCCTCTTTTGATGTGTTTATGGCAAGGCAGTGAGGTGGGACGGTACGAATTGCTTTTCTGAGTACACCTGCAAGTAACCTTCTGGCAAGATTTCCATAGCAATAAATGGTTAATGAAAGCGGGGGAAGATATTTCCAAGGAAAGTCCTCCTATTCCCTTTTGCAGTTCCTGCTCAAGAGTGATTGATGCAGTGGAAAGAAATTTACAGTATCATCTCATGCATGAATGTTCAGTAGTAGATTTCTGGGCAGTGTAGTAACTGGAGTACATTTTACCAACTTAGGCTGTGGTCTTCTCCAATGAGGATGGACCTTGCCTCCATTATCTAGTCTACTGTAATGCCTGGCAAGCTGGTACAGAAACTTCAGCTGGTGCAGAATGCAGCTCCCCCAGCATTAATGGGGGTCAGTCAAGGAACTCTTGCAACACCTATACTGTTTCACTGCCCCGATTACTGCTGTGTTTCCGAGCCAAATTTAAAGTGCTGTTTTTGACCTTTGCCGCTGTGAGCAGTGGATTTACCTCTCCACGGCAGAGTTTGTTGAAAAATCAACACCAGACAGCGCGACTCCAAGCAGCACTAGTTTATTGAATACATTTTGCAATGTATTTTGCCCAAGCAAGTAGGCGCCCCAAGCATAGCTCGCCATTCCTTTTTATTCCCTATCCCAATCCGTAAGAAGCCTCCCCTCTTTCCCCTCTGGCTGGGTAAAAAGGGTTTAGTCTTTCCCTCTGCCTACTTCATACAGTTTCTGTCTCATCCCATGATATACATCTACATACATTGCATGTGCATTATAATTAGCCTACAGTCTATTCAAAGTGTGTAAGTTAATATTCATCAAGCCTGCATGCTTATAACTACAAGTTCACTAGTTCACTAAACTACTGGGAAGATGGGATAGGAAGTAGCACACTTCCTTTCAAGCCAGTTGTCTTTTTCTCCCCCTCCCCCCCTCAAACAGGCATCATGGCTTGACTAATGGTTCTTTTGTTTCTCAGTCACTGCATTACCTTTTTTCTCTTTCAAGTTCAGTTGTCCCTTTGTGAGTACAGAATCTGAAACTTATTCTTAATTTATCCCAAATTCCTTCTTCACTGAGTAACAATTCTGCATTGTTTTACATAGTCGCCTCAGTTTGAGATCAAATTTTGTGAAGGACCAATATCAGCCTGCTTGCATTTTAAGATCAGCAAATATGACCCTTCTCAATTGTCCACCTGCCTCATCTACCAGAGATCTCCTGTGGCCATGAGGACTAGTAGCCTTAGATTGCCACCTCCTCCATGAATTTGCCCAGTCTCCTTTTACAACTGTCCAAATGGCTAGTCCTCACCGTATCACGTGGAAAAGAATCCCCTAATCTAACCATGTACAGAGTGAAGAAGTCCTTCCTTTGATTTGTCCTAAATCCCCCACCATTCCGAGGTGACCCCTTTTGGTTCTAGTATCATGAAAGCATTTCAAAAAGTCCATTTCTCCACACCAGGCATTATTTTAGCTCCCCCAGCTTGTCCTGCCTTCCTGGCCACCCTCCTTGGGTCATGGTCCAAGACTCCCACCGTCTTTCCAAGCTGGAAGGTGATGGAAACTTTCCATTAAATGTCTTTTGCGGTTGTATCCAGACACTTAGGAGTTAAGGCGTCCAAGCGCTCGCTGCTAGAGAGGCAAAAAGCTCAAGCTGGGTGGGTGGGGGGGGGCACAAAGTGCCGCTCCTTCCTGCTTTCTCGTGGGCTTGGGGGAGTGGGGAGAGAAGCAGGATTTTGCATCGCCTGCAGGGAGGGAGGTGAGTTGGAAGGAGCCTTAGGACAAAGGGAAAATGGAGTCCGGGGAAAGAAAGAGACAGCGGGGGGTGGGGGGGGGGCGTGCAAAGCACAATATAGGCGTGTGTGTGAGTGAAAGAGAAGAAATGCATGTAAGTAATTTAAGCTCCTTTAGCACAGATGAGCGAAAACCACGGAAATCAGAATTCCCATACCTTGCATCCAGTGTTGTCAGACGGCCGGGGTGCATATGTGAAAAAAGAGCAGCGACCTAGATTTGGCGGGGTTCTTCCTTCCCTGATTAGCACTTAAGCTGATTTTGCTCTGCAGGGATCTTCAGGTGAAGGTTTTGAAGGCACGGGAACAAACTGTCCCTGGCTACGGATTGCGGATCACACCGCTGTTAGAAGGGCAGCAATGCAGACTGGCTCAAAAGTTGGCATCCTGAAACCCCTTGGCCAGCTTTTCAAGTGCGCTTGGTGCAGTCAGTGCCTTTGATCTGCCGGAGCGTTCTCGTCACGCAGATGTCTTCCCTGTATTTCTGATGCTTGTGTGAAGCAAGCTCCTCAAGGCGGAGATACATAATTTGATAATATTTAGTTGTGCGAACGATTGTTTAAAATCCTGGATTTTGAGCTGAGCAGTGAGCTGGCTGGTAGGATCTCCTTCTATGAAGAATGATTCCAGGTGGTTTTAAAAAGCCCCTTTCTTTTTAGGTTTCATGACTGAATAAGAGCTGGAACCCAGATCTTCCCATTCCTATGCTCTAATACCCATACATTACAGCCAGAACACTTCTATCTCTGCCCACAAACAAATTATCTGTTTGCTTATTGTTTAATGTATATCTTACATTATCACCAAAAATAGACGCAAGCCAGCTAAGTACAATTTCTTATCTTCCCGATATTTTTGTCCTCCCTTCCTTTTCCTCTTGTGCCTTGTCTTTTAGATTGTACACCTCAGGGCAGCGACTGTCTGATTATTAACCTTTGTAAACTGGCCAGGGACCCTTCCTAAACTGAAGAGCTGGGTTAAAATACCATAAAGGCACAATTCTTTGCCTCTTAAAGCAGCTCCAGGATTTAGCCTTCGCATGTTTGTCCAGCTATGCATTTTTTATCTAAACATGCCTGGGATTGTGTCCAGAATAAATTGGAAATAAAATAAACTCTTTAGAGACCATATTCTGTCCCCCACACAGGTGGTAAAGATGATGTGAATGAGATCATGGAGCAGACCATTTCCTTCGCCCTACAACTTAAAGGAGGCAGAAGCGGACCTGATGAAAAACTTCAAAAACTTTGAAGAGCCCAGGGTAAAGCTACCTGTCAAATCAGAGAGACACGGAAATGAGTCAAAAGGAACGACTGTGGAAGACCTGTGCGAGAGATGGAGGTCTTTTGGATGCAGCTGTTTTTGAAGCTGAGGATCAGTGTGTGAACACTCACCAAACCAAAGCTCACCAAGGTGAGAGACATTCCACTTAGGTTAAGGGGAGGGATGATAGCACTCTTCAAGTACTTGAAAGGCTGCCACAAAGAGGAAGGCCAGGATCTTTTCTTGATCGTCCCAGAGTGCAGGGCGTGGAATAACGGGCTCAAGTGACAGGAAGGCAGATTCCGGCTAAATATCAGGAAAAAAATGCCTGACTGTTAGAGTAGTATAGCAGTGGAGCCCGTGACCTAGGAAGGTGGTGGGCTCTCCCACCCAGGAAACATTCAAGAGGCATCTGGACAGCCATCTGTCAGAGATGCCTAAACTTGTGGTCCTGCATGGAGTTGGACTATTATTAATTTTATTTATTTATTTGGAGAACTTATATGCCGCCCCATTCACATAAGCCTCGAGGCGGCTTCCAAACCATAAATAAATACAGTCTATACCATTACATAAAATATTGGAGACATCCTGGCAAAAAATTGTTAAAATCAATAAATAAAATCAACAATTAAAATAACGTTTAAATAAAAAGGGCTTAGCCTGGCGCTGAAAAGCAAATAACGACAGTGCCAGGCGGATCTCTGAGGAGCGCATTCCATAGGTGGGGCGCCACCGCAGAGAAGGCCCTCCTCCGGGTACTTTGCCTCCTAATGTCTTTCATGGAGGGCTCCTAGAGAAGGACCTCTGCTGCCAATCTCAAGGGGTGGGAGGGCACATACGGACGTAAGCGCTCCTTTAGGTAACCAGGTCCCAAGCCGTTAAGGGCTTTGTAGGTGATAACCAGCACCTTGAATTGGACCTGGACTTCAGTGGGAGCCAGTGAAGCTGATGGAGGACTGGAGTCATGTGAGCACAACGCCCAGTCCCCGTCAGCAACCTGGCAGCTCTATTTTGCACCATCTGAAGTATCCGGACCGTCTTCAAGGGCAGCCCCACATAGAGCGCATTACAGAATTCAAGTCGGGAAGTTACCAATGCTTGTGTCACTGTCGCCAGGCAATCGTTCTCCAGGTAGGGACACAGCTGATGGATCAGCCGAAGCTGAAGGAAAGCGCTCCTCGCCACTGCTGTTACTTGAGCTTCCAATGATAGCTCTGGGCCGAGGAGCACTCCCAAGCTGTGGACCCTGTCCTTAAGAGGGAGTGCAACCCCATTCAGGACAAGGTCATGGTCCCCCACCCTGAAGCCCGGCCTGCCTACCAACAGGACCTCCATCTTGTCTGGAATGAGCTTCAGTTTATTAGCCCTCATCCAGCCCATTACCTTGACCAGGCACCGGTTCAGTACAGCCACTGCCTCACCTGGATTGGTGGAGAACGAGAGGAAGAGCTGGGTATCATCAGCGTACTGATGGATCCGCAGTCCACACCTCCTGATGACCTCTCCCAGTGGTTTCATGTAGATGTTAAATAGCATGGGGGACAAAATGGACCCCTGGAAGACTCCATGGCATAGCTGCCATGGCACAGAGCCATAGTCCCCCAGCACCACCTTCTGGAATCGGCCATTGAGATAGGAGCGGAACCACTGCAAAGCAGTGCCTCCGACCCCCAATCCCGCTAGCCTATCCAGAAGGGTACCATGGCCAATGGTATTGAAAGCCACTGAGAGGTCCAGGAGGACCAACAGGGACGCACTCCCCCTGTCTCTCACCCTGCACAGGTCATCGTACAGGGCGACCAAGGCAGATTCAGTACCATGCCTGGGTCTGAAGCTGGACTGAAAAGGGTCAGATAATCAGTCTCATCCAAGAGTGCTTGGAGTTGTCCCGCCACCACCCGCTCCAACACCTTGCCCAGAAATGGGATGTTGGCCACCGGTCTATAATTGGTGGCCATCTCTGGATCCAGGGATGCCTTCTTTAGGACAGGCCGGACTACTGCCTCCTTTAAAGGGGCAGGTACCCGGCCATCCCTCAGAGAGGCGTTGACAACCTCCAGGATCCAGGCCCCTATCCCGTGCTTGGCTTTGTTAAGTAGCCAAGATGGGCAAGGGTCCAATAAGCAGGTGGTGGGACGTACTTGTCCAAGCACCTTGTCCACGTCATCAGGCTGCAATAACTGAAACTCATCCATCAATTTTGGACCAGACGGCAATATTGGCACCTCCCCTAAAGGCTCTGAGTCACTAGTAGAGTCCAGCTGGTGACGAATCTGAGTGATTTTCTCCTTAAAAATGCTTGGCAAAGTTGTCACAGCAGGCCGTCGAGCGCGGTACAGGGTCTTTCTTAGGGCCAGGATGAACCAGCCCTTGTACCACCTGAAAGAGCTCTGCTGGACGACATTGTGAGGAGGCAATGGAAGCGGAGAAGAATTTCTTTTTCGCCGCCCTCACCGCCACAGCATAGGTTCGATAATGAGCTCTCAAGTGTGTTTGGTCAGATTCATCCCGTGATTTCCTACACCTACACTCTAGACATCTCCCAACCCACTTCATTGCCCGTAATTCAGGTGTGTACCAGGGGGATGAACAGGCTCTGCCTGGCAGGAGAGGACGCTTAGGAGCGATCGTGTCAACAGCCCTGGTCATCTCCCTGTTCCATAGTTCGACCAGAGCCTCGACAGGAGCAACAGCCTTGTCAACCGGAAATTCCCCCAGGGCCTTCAGGAATCCATCCGGATCCATCCGGCTCCGGGGGCAGACCCACACAATCGGGTCCGCACCCTTACAGAGGGAGAGGCCGCTCTCGAGCTCAAACCTCACGAGGAAGTGATCTGACCATGACAGGGGTGTCAGACACAAGTTCCTCACCCTCAGACCACCCTCTTCCTGCCCCGTCGAGAAAACCAGGTCCAGAGTGTGTCCACATTCATGGGTCGGGCCGGTGACATGTTGAGACAGCCCCATGGCCGTCATGGAGGCCATGAAGTCCTGAGCCGCCCTGATCAGAACCGTCTCAGTGTGGAGATTGAAGTCCCCCAGGACCAGCATCCTGGGAGTCTTCAACACCAGGTCTGAGATGATCTCCGTCAGCTCAGGCAGTGTCGTGAGGTGTCTCACGCTTCAATTAACTCACACAGCAGGCCGTATATCAGCTAAAAACTTTTATTACTACTCACTACAAGATTTACAATGTAACTGATAAGCTCCACTAACGAGCTCCCTACCGGCTACAGTTGCTGCTTCTTTCTGAGCTCTCTTCGAAAGCATCATGTGGTGTCAAACCTTCCCATCTCGTCTTTCCGCCCGAGGGTGTGACAGACCCCTGTCCCTTTGTCGTAACTGGGTCTGTCGTGTTAAGGCTCTCCTATTTTGGGCAAGTGCCAAACTTTCTGCCATGTCTTCTTGCCCTCCTGAGCTCTGTTCAGCAGTTTGAGAGCTAGGAGCCGGCGGGGGGGGGGGGGGGGCAGTTTCCTCAGGCAGCCCAGAGCTGGAATCAGAGTAAGCTACTCTCTCAGACGCTTCCCCATCAGTCTGTGGGGGGGTTGTATGCTCAGGGGCCGAGGAATGATGTGGTAGAGAGGTTTCTTGCTCAGTAGCCTGAGAGCCAGGCTGTATATGGGCTGTCTGAGCACTGGTTCTCAAATAAAAGTCTCCTTGATGTCCATTTGTAGAGTCGTCTCTTGGGTTGTTGGAAAAGAGTGTTTGCTATGACCATCGTCTTCTCTTGATAAAATTCTACCAGCCTGTGCCCTGCTTCATTTTGTACTCCAAGCCAAACTTGCCTGTTATTCTGGTTATCTTTTGGCTTCCTACTTTAGCATTCCAATCCCCCATGATGATAAGGACATCATTTTTTGGTGTTAATTCTAGAAGGTGTTATAGGCCTTCATAGATTCGGTCAACTTCAGCCTCTTTAGCACCAGTGGTTGGTGCATAGACTTGGACTACTGTGATGTTGAATGGTTTGCCTTGGATTCGAACTGAGATCATTCGGTCATTTTGGAGATTGTATCCCAGTACTGCTTTTCCCACTCTTTTATTGAGTATGAAGGCTGCTCCATTTCTTCTGAGGGATTCTTGCCCACAGTAGTATACCTGATGGTCATCTGAATTAAACTCACCCATTAATGTCCATTTTAGTTCACTGATTCCTAAGATGTCGTTGTTCAGTCTTGTCATCTCTTTTTTTCACCACGTCCAGCTTGCCTTGATTCATGGATCTTACATTCCATGTTCCTACGGAGTATAGATCTTTGCAGCATCGGACTCTCCTTTCACCACCAGATACATCCGCAACTGAGTGTCCTTTCGGCTTTGACCCAGTCGCTTCACTCTTTCTGGCGCTACTAGTACTAGCCCTCCGCTCTTCCCCAGTAGCATATTGGACACCTTCTGACCTGAGGGGCTCATCTTCCGGCATCACATCTTTTTGCCTTTTGGTACTGTCCATGGGGTTTTAATGGCAAAAATACTGGAATGGGTTGCCATTTCCTTCTCCAGTGGATCACGTTTTGTCAGAGCTCTCTGCTATGACCTGTCCGTCTTGGGTGGCTCGGCAAGGCATAGCTCATAACTTCATTGAGCTGTACAAGCCCCTTCGCTACAACAAGGCAGTGATCCATGAAGGAGTGACCCATTCTTAGGTTTATAGATTTCCACAACACAAAAGGAAAAGGCATGATGAGGGAGGAGGAAAACAAGCAAACTGGCAGTATGATTGAATTGGATGGGAGAACAAAGGTAATCTCGTCAGAATCCCTTCCGGTGCAGAAACTCTGCAGTAGTTGTGTCCCTGGTAAGGTGGCCATCCAGCCTTGGAAGGTCTCCGTGAATGTGAGCTGACGTTCGGCTGTATTGGCCCAGGAGACCTTCGGCGGGTATTGAGCTACAGCCAGCTAGTTGTCTCTTCTATTTATTTTATTTAGCCTACCTTTTTTCACAAATGGTATTCAAGGCAGCTAAGAATAGGCAAAAAGAGTCACGTTAGCATTCATTCATTGTCGAAAACCCATGTTTAGTTATTTATTTGTTAGATTTTTATCTTGCCTTTTTTCTTTTCTTTTTTCTTTTAAGAACTCCAAGCAGCTTACATGATTCTGCTCCTCCTGCTCTCAATCTTATCCCCACAACAACAACCCTGTGAGGTAGGTTGGTCTGTGACTGGCCCTAAACCACCCAGTTGGCTCCATGGCTGAGCGGGGACAGAACCGGATCACCTTAGTCCCAATACCATGCTCTTAACTACTGTGCCACACTGGCTCCCTACCTGTTTACACATGTTAGTGTAAAAAAGCAAAAGGGAGCCCTCTGGTTAATGATACAGGATAAAAATCCAATAAATAAAATAAGTAAAAGTAATAAAATATCAGATCTCCAGATCTCTTCACCAGCCAGGACACCCCCCGCCCCCGCTTCTCCCTTGCCACCAAATATGCAGTCAGTAGAACTGTTCTCTCAGGCATCCATTTGGCTGTATATGAAGGAGGTTTCACCAGGTCCTGAGTTTTTCTTAACATTGATTATTTAAAATTGTCAGATGTATGTGTGTCTCTGTGCACTGTCTGTTTGTTTGTATGTAGATGTTTTCTGTGTAGAATGCATTGTTTAAAGTTTTAAGAACTGCCTGAAGAGCTTCAGATCTGGGGTGGTACAGAAATGAAAGAAACAAAATGACACAACATGAACGGCACAGTGCATACAGCTTGTGTGTGTGATCAGTATCTGGAATATGCAAGCCCCACACAGGGGTTGCTGTGTTGTGTGAACCTGGTGAACATGGGTTATATCACGCTCTTCCCAGAGTTACATGAGTGTTAAATAACCCACAGTGAGCTGTGCCGAGTTGTCTGAACTGAGTCATTCTGACTTCACTATCAAGTCTGTTTTTCCTTTTTATTTAAACATTTTAAAACTGTTGAAAATGGTTTAAAAAGTTCCCCTTTATTTAAACATTCTGATTCAGAGTGGGAGGCGCCACAGTAGAACAAGGAAGGCCAGAAGGGGAGGGGTGTAAGTTCATCAGCCCAGTAATTGGTCATCAAGCCAAAGGAGCAGACCAATTGAGTAATGCCTGGTGTTCCCACTGTTTGGCCCACAAGCAGCACAAACCTCCCTGAGGGTGGAACCAGCCCCATTGGGAGAGTAAGGGAAGAGGAGGAGGAAGATTCAGTTTGGAGCTAACTCCTCCAGTCCAAGAGATCACTACTATAATAGATGCAACTTGTTAGCAAGCTTTTCATTTTGATATGCTGGAAAAGGAAAAGGTGAAGTGTGCTACAAGCAGCACCATCGTTCAGTAATAAAACATGGGAGGACATCGTATCCCTCTGTAAGTACTTCAAAAGCTTTCACAAAGAGGAAGGTCAAGATCTCTTCTCGCTCATCCCAGAGTGTAGGATATAGAATAATCAAGTCAAGCTGTGACTATTCAGCTTCAGGCTAGATATCAGGAAAAGCTTCTTCACTGTCAGAGCAATGTGACAGTGGAACCAGCTGCCTAGAGAGGTGGTGGGCTCTCCCACACTGGAGACATTCAAGGGGAAACTGGACAGCCATCAGCAGGGGTGGTGTAACTTGGTGTCCTGCACCAGCAGGGCATTGGACCCAATGGCCTTCTTGGCCTTCTCCAACTCTATTATTCTATGATTCACATGTAGAAGGTCTTGGGTTTATTCTTTGACTTCTCCAACAAAATGGGAGTTCAAGTAGCAGGGCAAAGATGCACTTCTATCAGGAGCTGCAAAGAAGATGTCCCTGATAGATTAGAGGAACAGAACAGACCCAGATCCCCAATCTGGCCCTCCTGCCACCCCTAGATAGCCACATCCCTTCCTCTGCTCTCCCCACTTCCCCCAACCTCTTCCTGCTTGGTGGTTTCCTGGCATTGCTGGTTCCCCACACCCCAAGAAATGCATCACTCAGTGCTTTCTTACTGATAGGAAAATCATTTAGCTAAAGAATGGGGGCATTCTTGATATTTTGGTTATGCCCCTTTTGATTTCTGTCCCATCCACCACTGGAATGCAGCCTCTAAAAGCTTCTCTAAAATGGAATTCTGCTGTTGGGCACAAAGAGGTTCAGCTCTCCTGAGATGGATGGACTGATTGCCTGACAAGGTGGCTTAACATGTTCACTTTAAAAACTCTTCTTATCCCATCAGGCAAAGGGTATACGACAGAGAATGAAGATGGTCATTTGTGTGCAGCTTCCACAGAAGGGGAACTCTATGAGTTCAACAGAACAACTGAAGGGAGTATCTCCCAAAGTCCTGAACAGACGGGCATTGTTGAACGTTCCCAAGGAACAAGGAGGCAACAGAAAACCTGCTTAGAGAAGAGCACAGGTAAATCCATTCCTCATTGGGAATGTGAAATCACAGACCAGGAGGGAATTCAAGAAGCTCAGAGACAAGAAGCATTGAATGAATGGGAGGTCTCCTCTGGACTGGCTGCATGTGGACAAGTCCAAATCAAGGAGAAACTATATCAGTGCCTATACTGTGGGAAATTCTTTAATGCCCACTTTAAGCTTATTAGGCATCACAGAATCCACACAGGAGAGAAACCATATAAATGCTTGGATTGTGGCAAAAGCTTTGACCAGAAAGGAAACCTTATTGCACATGCAAGAATCCACACAGGAGAAAAACCATATGCATGTTCTGATTGTGGGAAAAGCTTCAGCCACAAAGGAAGCTTGGTTTTGCATGTGAGGATCCACACAGGAGAGAAACCATACAAATGCCCAGATTGCGGGAAAAGTTTTAGTCGGTCAGGGTCCCTAAAAGAACATGAGAAGACCCACACAGGAGAGAGACCATACACTTGTTTAGACTGTGGGAGAAGCTTCCGAAAAATCTCTGAGCTTACAACACATCACAGGTTTCATACAGGTGAGAAGCCATATAAATGCTCAGGCTGTGAAAAATCTTTCAGTACAAGCTCTAATCTTATTGCCCATCAGAGAACTCATACAGGGGAGAAACCATATAAATGTTCTGACTGTGGGAAAAGATTCAGTCAGGCTGGAAACCTTAAGGAACATGAGAGAACCCACACTGGGGAGAAACCATACAAATGCCCAGAATGTGGGAAAAGCTTCAGACAAATTTCTTATTTTATTAAGCATCACCAAATGCACCTTGCGGTTGAGGGAATGCATGTGGAAGAGAAACCATATAAATGCTCTGATTGTGGGAAAGGTTTTAGTGAGAAAGCAAGCCTTGGAAGACATCAGAGAATTCACACAGGAGAAAAACCATTTAAATGCTTAGACTGTGGGAAAAGCTTCTGTCTAAAATCAAACCTTGTTGTTCATTTGAGAATCCACACTGGAGAGAAACCCTATAAATGTTCAGACTGTGGGAAAAGCTTCAATCAGACCTCAAGCCTTCATAATCATGAGAGAACCCACAAAGGGGAGGAACCATATAAATGCTTAGATTGTGGGAAAAGCTTCAACAGACCATCACAACTTAAGGCACATGAAAGAACCCACACTGGAGAGAAACCATATCAGTGCTCAGAGTGTGGAAAAGGCTTCATTTACAACCATCACCTCGTTAGACACCAGAGAAATCACACAGGAGAGAAACCATACAAATGTCTGAAGTGTGGAAAAGGATTTAGTCTCAAGTCAACCCTTATAAAACATCAAGGGATCCACACAGAAGGAGAAACATAGAAATGTTTCAGGTAGGCTTTATGCCTTACAAATATGTGGGAATCCATACAGGTGTCAGAAATCAAATTCAGGGCAGGCCTTGAATGAGAATCTTGAGGATTGTCAGGCGGTGTAGATCTGCCCTGTGCAGCAAAAGGATTGGACTAGATGTACATTTGGGCAAATTCAGGAGGTGCCACTTTAAGTTCCTAATCAAGATAGAGAAGGAAGGTAAGACTTCATTTCTGTGAAGCACAAAGGATCATTCCTTCTATTTCCAGGCTGTGAGCATTGCTGCTTCTGCAGGCAAAATAACACTTGCAAGAAGGATGTATGAGCAGATCTGGGGCAAATACCAAGGTTTTCAGAAATACAAACAAAAAAAAATCTTTAGGGGGAAAAATCAATCCCTAAAACAAATCACTGAGGACTGAGCATGCTCAGTGGGCAGGGAAACCCAAGGAGGGGGTTGACCAAAAACTGGGGAGGAAAGGGGCATAATATCCTGAAGAGCAGCACTCTACTGCGGCATTTTGTTTTCTATTCTACTTGTTTTATCAATTTTGATTTTTTGAGCACTTTGAGCATCATTTGTTTGGTAGCTTAAAAAAAAAAAGAATTATCTGTATTGTATATTAAGCAAATTGAGGGCACAATTGATCACAAGTTTAGAAAGATAAAAAGGTCTACAACTCCCAGCATGCCCTGGCCAGAGCAATAGAAACATAGAAACTGGGTGGGTCAGAAGGGGTCTCCCGGGCCATCTAGTCTGACCCCCGGCTCCAGCCAGCTCTGGTCAATATCATTGCATTTCACAGGAATCAGCTATGCTAACTGGAGCATGCTGGGAGTTGCCAGTCCTTTTTTCTCTCTAAGCTTGCATAGGACTGCACTTTAAAGCATCTCTCTAAATTCTATTTTGAATTTGATAACCTACACATCCTATCTGTATGGTCTGGCTAACACACAGGTGTGGCACCTCAGGGCCATGGGCAAATCCAACTCTCCAGGGCCTTCTGGAGTCCCCTAGGAAGCCACATCCCTTCTCTTGGTCCCACCTCCTTTCCCTCACCACCATCTGTTTGGTGGTTTCCTGGATTTTGTTCAGTTTTTCCCCCATTCTAAAAGGCTGAAATTGGTTACTCACTGAACTAACAAGCTGTAGCTTTTTAACCACACACAACCCATAGTTTGTTTTCTCAGCTGGGTTCAAACAACATCCTAATCCATCTGTATAGCTCCATCTCCTAGAGTTTATCTGTGCATTATCATTTTCCCATGGGTTTGAGTTTTGGGTAGTTTTTGTTTGTTTTAGTATTGTTTCATCCACTATTGAAATGGAATAACTACAACTGCTTTCACTCATCACTCCCTTGTTTTGCCTCCTTTCCCTGTTCCCTTTCTATCTGTTCTCTCCTACATTCCCAATGTTTAGACTGCATGATCCTTGGGGCAGTGACTCATGTGTGTTGTTTTTATTTTTTTACCACAATTATTATCAAGAAGACACCCACCTTATTGCTTTTATGGCACAGCATGAGCCAAGTGATCGCTATTCAGAGCTGAAGGAGGAGTCCTGCTGCGGAAGGAAAAGCTTGTTTGCCTTCCCTTCTGAAACGCAGCAGCTCTCTCCATGTCCCACAGAATACAAACAGGTGAAAGGGATTAGACCAGCCTGTTAACTTCCAGGCCCCATGGAGATGGGGCTGTAGCTAACGGGCAGAGGATTTGCTTGCTCCCAGAAGGACTAGACAAAACTGCCTGAAAATACGGAGAACTGTGCCATTCTGTGGTGACTAAATCGGAATAGATTGTGGGTCCTCAAACTACGGCCCACATGACAGATCTGGCCTTGGCCTTCCATTTTGCCCGCACCACCATTTGCCACCCCCGCGCGCGCTTGCTGCACAGGCAGGGAGATGGTCTCCGAGCGAGCAGGCTGCCTCCTGTATGTGCAGGTGCGCTTGGAGATGGACTCTGAGCAAGCAAGCTGCCACCTCCTGCCTCCCGTATGCGCATGCTCGCCGCTACCTCACAGCGCAGGATGGGGAGGTGGTGGCTCGCTCGCTCGGAGATGGTTTCGGACTCACCGAGAGATCTCCGAGCAAGCGAGCGAGCCACCACCGCACGTGCCCGATGCTGCCTCACACACCCGACGGCACCTCATGGGCCCATGCCCCCAGGCACCCCCACCTCACCGGCCCACGACAGTCACTGCAGCCTTTCAACTGGCCCCTATTCAAAAAGTTTGAGGACCCCTGGAATAGATGGACCTACCTGACTCTCAAGACAGTTCCTAGGCTCTTATGCTTCTATTCAATGTTCGAGATTTCACTTATACAGCTTTCGATACTTCCAACCCCAAATATGTGAACAAGTGCCCCTTCCCGTATCAGTCTGCCTGCATGGTGAGATTTTTTTTTTTGCCAAAGCACTCCCTCACATGGTCTCCTTTCCCGCAACAAGATGGAAGAGCATTTCAGCAGTGGCATCCTGGCGACAGAACTTTCTCCCTAAAGTAGTTTGGTGGGGAAATCTACTTTCTTCTTGACTCCAGCTGAAAAAGATGCTTTTAACTGTTTAGGCATTTTAATCTGTTGCAAGATTTTTTAAAATGTGTTTGTGTGTTTTTTTTACTCACTCTTACTGTATTTTCATTATTATTTAGTGTACAGTACACAGCCCTGAAAGCCATATAGAAAAAGGGCAGAGTGAACCATTTTAAATAAATGATCTCAGGAGGTTAGGCAAATACCCAGCAAACTGGTGATAATAGGAAAAGGGTTTGCCCAGTGTTAGTCCTACTTTGATTGGGTTTGCACGGCAAGGCAGCTTACTGTGCTTTAATTTACCCACGATTAGCTGTAGGGCCACATATGAGCCGTGTGCAACTGTTTTGAACATGCAAACTCTGATCAGTGCGACTGAGAGTTGTGATATGTTGTGTAAACCTGCCCGTCATGGGCTGAGGATTAAACAACCCATACTGAACCCAATTATCAATTGAGGGTTAAGTGTGGGCTGTTTAACCATTAATTAACCCATGATGGTTGGATTTGCACACCACACCAGAACATGTAATTGCCCTCATTGGAAGTCGCATATTCAAAAAGGCAGTAGGTTAAGGAAGGACCCTAACATGCGAATCAGCCATTAAAGTTGCGAACAGCACAGTACTGAGGATGGGGATAGGAGCAACCCATATTCTAAGACATGGGGTTGCCACCGAACACTCTCTTGGTTTCATCTAGGGCTGGGAAGCAGCAAATAATGCAGAAATTTCTCTGTTTGAGCTTCAAAATGAGAAAAGGTGGAAACAGTGGATTCCTCATGTGAATATTGAGGAAAGCATGCAAGTTCGGGGAAATTTTGTTGGCTGTGTCTGGGAAGAAAATAAATGACTTTTCCCATTCTGCCTCGGTGTTATCTGTGTTGTTCTACCTATTCCTATCACCTGGCAGAAGGAAAGTCCCTGCAGGGGCTGAGGAATATGCTTTTGCCTAAAACGTTCTCCAGTTTTACCTGCAGTGGAGAGAATAACAAGTAACTACCATTTGGTAAACACAAACTGGAGTCAGAAGCAAAGCATCCAAAAGGTGACCTCATCACACCCACACTGTCTTCCCCTCACACGACTAGAATAAGCCCCAAAAATGCAATTTGCTGCCCCTGTTATAGTACTCCCAAAGGCTTGGTCGAGACGGGGCCCTGCCTGAAGGTGGAGGCAGGAAGGCTGCAATGCAGGGAGCCTCCCGGGCCTTTGCCGCCCCGGAATCCCGTCATGCCGCACCAGGCCGCCCCTCACTGGTCCGGCGGGGAAGCGCTTGACTAAACTGAGTCCTGGAGGACTGGCAGGCGAGCTCATGAAATCTCCACTGCAGCAGAAGTGGAGCGGAAATTTCCCAGGAAACCCTGTTCTGAGAAAGTTCCGGGGGCGATTCTTTTCCTCACCTGCCTAGAGGCTTTGTGGAATTTTCTTCAAATTATCCCCATCCTTTGTGTGTGAGTGTGTATTGGCAGCCATTTCTCCCCGACAAGGTTCTGGAGTGATACCCCATCCGGGGCTGCTGCTGGAGAAGAAAGGACAACTGCCGGGCTGCGCACATGATGGCCGTGCTCTGACCTGTGGCAAGAGTGAAGCAAACATGGCAACTGCCATGCAGGGATAGGAGAACACACAGGCGGGCTCCATGGGGCTCCACCCTCAGGAAGGGGGCAGGATGGGGGGCCTGCCGGGCATCTGGCTCCCCCTCACTGGGCCAAGGACTGGGCCTTGCCTCTGCTCCCCCTCCCCTCCTGTCAACCGTCCTGCCCCTTCCAAAGCGGCCGGTGCCCACACTCCACCTGAGAAACTACACAAGGCAACCTTGCCGCTTCAGAGTCCTGCCTCCCACTGCTGCTCCCCCTCCTTTCCGATCGGGAATCTCCCTGAGCAGACGAATGAGCGAGAGATGGGCCCCTCGCGCCTCCATTATGGGGTTGGCGCCAGAGCTTGTCTTTCCTTCCGCAAATGGGGCCACAAGCCCCCGTCCGTTGCAAGAGAGTGCGAATGGCACGGCACTGACGAAAAAACGAGGGCATCTGAGGACTCCCAAACCCGTTGCGTGAAGGAAGGGCCGTCCTTGGTGGGGCAGCTCCTCCCCTCCACCCCCATTTCGGTCAGGCCGGCCACTCCAGCAGGGGTGCAGGGGGGCACCTCAGCCATGTGCAGGAGGGCACCAGGGGCCCCATGTTTGCAGGCGGGGTGGGCTGTCGGAGGAGGGAGGAGCCCAGAGGGGGCCTTCTCTGTGGTGGCCCCCAGCTGTGGAAGACACTCCCAGAGGCTTGCCTGGAAGAGACAACATGTTCTTTCCAGCATCAGGCAAAACCCTTTCCCCCCCCACTAATTTAATGCTCAATTGATTTTAACTGGGGTGTTAGTGGATTAATTGTCAGATGCTGTGGTGTTTGCTTTATTCTGCTCATTTTTCATATGCTGACTCAAGATGTTTGTCCTGGAGGAGTTAGAAAAGCTTTTAATA